AACAAGACCAGCATGCCTGTTAAATAACGGAATTATAAGAAAAATGAATTTTTGATTTTGATTTCACGTGAATCTTCACATACCCGCTTGTCCGAGTGTAAATGTCCTTGATGATCTCCGGGTCAATAGTGAAGTTGTATTCATCTCCAAATGCTTTATATAAGGTCTTTACTTGATCAAACGTGAAATTTGGGTTCTGGTACGGCTCATTTACATTAAAGGGCGATGTAGACGTTCTTTCTGATTTTAGATGTAGAATACTGAAGGTGCCAATGGCGACAATAGACTGTATAGCATAGTTATATTTTGAGTTTTTAATGCCATGAAAAGTTTCCAGGCACGAGGTTATGACAGCTTGATCCGCTTCATACAGTTTATCAAATTCATCAATGAAGAGAACAACGTTAAGATTACGACAATTGTCTTTACCAAATGCTCCAATAAAATCTCGAGCAGAATTTATATTCAAAACACTAGAAAATTTGAAATCATCGGTATCAATGTTGGGTTTAACATCTCGCACGAGAGCAGAGCCTAATGTCGTCCAGAACAATTCTGAAGTTTCCATCGTAACATGCTCAAAAGTTACACTATCCCAAAGAAAAAAGAAATAAAAGTAACAGTTAAACTGCATGAAATGTGACCAGTTAGCTTAAAAGAGAATCAGAACTTACTAAATGCAATTAAGACCTTCATCTTTCAACAATTCTCTAATTCGTTGCACTCGTGTAGACTTTCCAGAAACCCGTGCACCATACAACGCCACATATTCACCTTTCCAAATCATCGAAGAAAGTTCATCATTTCCCTCTGGTTCAGAATAGTAGAATAAATGACGATCATCTCGCATAAGTGCACTATTAACCGCCCATCTTCTTTTCTTTTCACTTGTTGCTGTAGAGAAACATTTGTAAGAATAATAGAATGGAATATATAGCTACGTATAGAAACAAGAACATTTCTTACTTTCTACTTCCGTATTCTTCCTTTTCCTCTCGAGCTCTAATGGTTGTAATAACAGTTAGAAAGCATATTCGATATTATTAATAAATGACGAAATATATATCATTGTTTTGACTGCAAATTTCTTGTTCGAAAGGTAAAACGTTGGGAGACACTTACTAGTGGCGGGCACTTGTACGAAGATGAGACTTTTGTCAACCGCATCTTGATCTGGAAAATATTTCTTAAAATGGGTGATAGGCACCAACTGTTCGCTATCTTTACAAATTTGTTCTTCAGTAAGATCTTTAAGCTTATCACCGAAAGCGATGTCAGCCTTCCAAAGGTTTAGGTCATTATAGTCATCATTATTAATATATTTTTTTATCTCATCATAGATGAGATACTTTAGGCCTGAAATTTTGAGTTGATCAAATAATACTTCAATTCCATTAATATTGTTTTTATCACAAATGCGAACCGTAAAAGAATCATTAATAGAAGTCTTTCCTAAGAGTATACAGTTTGGTTCCATTAACATTTTGGGTATAATCCTTTAAAGCGATAGAATGATTTGTTAGAGAAAATATTTTTTTTAGAAATAATGATAATATTTTTAGAGAAAATAGAGAAAAGTTTGAGGGTATATATACTTTTCTGAATACATCGTGATTAATTATAAAATGATCTTTATAAGCTATTAATTGGTGACACAAGATATGATATAATGATGTAAATGATATAAGCATAGTAAGAAAAAAAGTTATAAAATTAAATGATCGGCAAGCGAAAAAAAGTGATTCATACAATTTTATCGTTACTCAGATTGCATTCACGAGGTATTTATTAATTCTTCGGTTGTACAACAACAATTAGTAGCCAATAAAATTAATTTTAAATTATGTCATAAGGCGTTTTCTTTGATAGATTTTACGTATACAACTTTTTTTTCTTATTCCGACCCGTCATGCTATTTTCTCCGAGCATGAACCTATCGCAGTTTAAGAAGTGTTGACGAAAAAATTATTAAAGTCCGGACGAGACACTTCACAATTAAGGTATGAATGAAATATATTTTTTCGGCTGTGACTGTGCATTTGCAAGGGAGTGATTCATAGCTTGTAAAGCTAATCTCTATTTTTTTGTTAAGAAATTTCGAGGACCTTACTATGGAGGTGGGATATTTTCGTACGGAAACTTCAACATTTCTTCTTTTTCCTTAGAATATAGTGTTACAAGATTTTTATATAAACTCGCAATAAAAAAAATAAAATGCTCAGATATTTCCGTACATAATATTCATAAGCTTCAATATTTCTTTAGGAAAAAGACGTTATGGGAGTTGATAACGCCAAACGAAATTTTCTTCTTTTTCTTTTTTATCTTTCTTTTTTCGAATGTAGCAATGGGAATATTATAAACATGTTTGTTTAATAATAAAGTAATAAATTTGAATAACAAATTTGGAATAATCTTAATAATTTTTCTTTAATAAATTATGTAGTTACAATAAAGAAAGTTTTTATATATGAACCGTGAATAAAATTATAGAATGATAAGTCTTATGACTCAAGTACATTTTTTTTTATACATTAAATAAAATTATTAATTATGTACATGAAAAAAAAAAAATGCCAAAACAAATAAATGAACCTTAACAGTTACGTATAATATTAACCTTTTTGATTACAAAGTTTACTAATTTACCAGTTCAAATTTTAATATTTTACTCTTTATCTTCTCAACTTTCTTTTCCAGTCATTTGAGTATTTTGAGTAGAGCAAATAATCAAAATTAACCATTTATGGTTTATCAGATAGTCCAGTCCGATTTCAAATGATCTCTAATTATGTTAACATGGTAATAGTTAATCTATTGGAACAAGTTCAGATCGCAATATAAAAAAAAATAATATAAAAATACCCTTTGGCAAATTTTTAAAAGAAATTTATATTTTTTTCGTTCTGAAAATTGAAAGTTTCTCTCGTTCAAATCATTTCTTCTACGAATTCCATTGGTTATTTCTTAAGATATATAAAGTGTTATACCGATAATATACATATTTAGTTCAATTGTTGCTTTGAAGAAAAAAAAAATAATATATTTTGAGAAACATCTTTAACGCAAGAAGTTTTTACAATGACTCATGGATCCGGAAACAATCACCAACAGATGTGAACCAAGTAGAGCATACTCGAATGGAACATAACCAAATAGAACATAATCAAATGGGATATATCCCAAATGTTTCATATAATAATAACTTTAATATTTCTAGCGACCCTTTAGATACGACAACTTACATAACTGGCAATTACAAAGAGTCCTCTTTTATGGATAATCAACTTGGTACTTCAGCTCAATACCATCATCCTACGTTCACTACATCGTATTACGTGCCGCAACATAACTCTCCGCTTCAATTCCAAAATAACTTCTCATCAGTTAATTCTCCTCAACCGAATAATTCCGAAATCTTTAGACTTAATATTCCCGGGTTTAGAATTATCGTTATACCTAATTCTGTAAATTTAGCTAATTTGGATTTACAAAATTTGTTTCAACCCCAAATATCGTTACTGAAAACTTGCAAACTCACTCTCAAAATACTTTTGGTTTAAATGATTCATTTGATTTTAATAACTTTTAGTGACTAAACAATATTCTTTTCTTTTTTCTAATTTAATATTTTCTTAAATTGTATTCTTTAAATATTTTATTATGTAATCATTTTCATTATATTGTTTAATAAAGTTATACATATCTGACCAATTATTTTAAGTCGCAGTTGTATTATATAATGTATTTCATATGTGAGTTTTTGCTTCCTAGCAAAAAAAAGTTTTTCAATATACCCACTCTTTGACATGCGAATTCGTTTAAATTTAGGAATTAAAGTATCAAATACAATTCTCTTTGCAATCTTTAAGATATGATTCTAGAACTTTTACTAAAGTGCATACATAAACTATTTGAATTTTGTGGCAGAATTTTCGGTAATGAAATAGAATTCGATGCTAACTAAAATTATACATTAAACCTTCTCATTTGACATTTCAGATTAATGATGTGAAATACCAGAGTCATAAAAATAAAAAACCGCGAATGACATTTCTGTTATTAAATTATCAATGTCATATAAATATGGACTTTTCAATATTTCCAAAGTTTAGATAATTTTGAAATAATCAAAAAAAAGATTTATTTATCATAAAATGTATAGTTAATAGTATGTAGTAAAAAATTATTATACAAAGAAATGATCAAAAAAAAAAAAAGTATTGACAAAATGAATAATGAATAATTAATTGAGTTCATTGTTAATAATTCGATGTATAACTTTTTTTTATTTATTTCAGTATAAATTTAAAATTTATATATACTTCATGCAATATACGCATTTGAAGTAGGGTCCCAAATCATTGAATTAAAAACTATTATTTAAGCGTAGCATTAAATTGCTGTTTTATGTATATTTCATTCCATTTTTAATAAGTAATAATTAGGACATTAGGACAAGATAGATATAATCAATGGCTTAAAGGGGAGAAACACCTCCATCAAATACATCGTAAACTAAAATATTTCTACATCCATATCACGTAAGCATGCAAAAAATTTCCTGTTGAACTTCAGTTCGTGTATTTTTTGATATATTTGACCACATAGTTCACCTTTGGGATTTCAAAGTAAATGACAGAGTTTTGTAACATTCTAAATTTTCAATTGGGTTCGTTCTATTATTGATAAATTATAAATGTCAGAAAAATCTCAAAGAAAAATATTATAAATTTGTGATAACGATCTATTACTAGCTAAAGGATCCTGACTTTTGATTTCAATTATATTGCAAATTTTGTGATGAAATTATTTTCATATATTTCCGTTGAGTATGTTTAACCAATATCGTAAAATGAAAAAGAGCATCAAAAATAAGAGCTTTAATATTAAGGAAATGTTCAACTTACCATTAGTTTGAGTAAAGTTATTTTTCCAACGTAACAAGACATATTTTTAATTAAAATAAATATTTTGCTTTCTCCCAAAAAATTATTAGAAATTAGGAAAATAAGTCATACTATGAAATTAAGTGAAATTAACTGTTAAAGTATCGGTATTATTTAAATAGTTACGGTATCATCTATTGACTCTGTTACGGTATGGTCATTTTTTTACCGGTATGAAGATCCATTTGTGCATCATACTGTACTTACACCTTTGGTTGTATAATATTCATACAACCAAAGTTACAGGTACGGTACAAACTGCCATACAAATATCGTACCTGTATTGTAAATATTGTAAACCGCAGTAATACAATAAATCTTGCCAAAAATAAACATGTTGAAAAGTCTAAAAGGAAAAATGAAATTAAAATCTATGTAAAAATTAATAAAAAAGATTTCGATTTGTATAAACAGTTGCTAATTTATGTATTAATTATTTTATTTACATTTATTTTACAATATATTGTTACATTAATTATTTTGATTTTAACAATTATTATTCTTCAACTGTAGCATATTGAAATTTGAAATATTTTTTTTTAAAAAAAAGCTCTACATATTATATTATACATATTAAATCTTATACAAATTTTTAGCAAAGTAATAATAGCATATTTCATTGATTATTATTTAATTCCATTTCCAACTTTTTAATCTGCAACTCTTTTAATTTTAGATCAATTTCATTCTGTTTGAATTGCATTTTCCTCTCTTCTAATGCGATCTTGCGCTCTTCAATTTCCATTTCAGTGTCATCATCATCATAATCAATCTTTGCCTTTTTTTGAAGCGCGTTGCTTTTCTTTACTGGTTGTTCTTTTGGATAGTTTTCTAACTATTTTTTTTTATAACATTAAAACATGATAATACCCATCATAAATAGCAATCAAATCATAAAGTTTATTACTTTATCTGATCTTTTATTAGCTTGCATTTTTTTACCAAAGTCACTTCTATCTTTACTAGACATATAAATGCCTGTTTGTTGATGTATTTTTATTTTTTTATAGATGCACTCATTATGCTTCCATCCCCTAAATATAAAAAATAAAATAGGTATTAAATTATTTATTATATAATTATGCAGATAGTAAAAAATTACCTTAGAATTGCAATTTTTAATTTCAATGATTTGCCTGTTCAATTAATCATTGCATGAGCACTTTCAGCAATATTAGTATCAAATGGTGTTGTCTGCCAATCTTCATATGACATTAAGGAATAATGATATGTTAACGAACCCAGAACCCATGGTTTCTGATAATATTCTAGCCAATCTAAAAAAATTAAATTGATATAAATTAATATAATTAATACGATTGATAATCTAATAAAGCAAAACAATATATACCTACTTTGTATATCATTTTCATTACGCATTTTAATTTGTCCAAATATTTGATTAATTTCTTCAGAAGAATTTGCTTTAAGAATTTCAAGCATATCATGTTTTGTATCTGCACAATAAGGGTAATGGTCAACATTTCTATAAAATTATAAAATTATTAGCAAAAGTTATATTATTAATTTATAAAATATAAAAATCTTACCTTTTATAATAGATACAACATGATTTAAATACATATTGTAAATGTTCTTTAGCTTTTCGTGTAGGATCCATTTTTTTCATAGTTTTTCCTAATCCAAGGGCTTGGGCTTGATCTAAATCAGCTAAAACACAAACCCAACCATCACCATGTATATGCCAAAAATAGGCAGGCTTATTAGATAATTTTTCAACCATTTCAAAAAAGGCTTCAAACATTCTTTGATATTCCTCTTTAGTTGCAATATTAGTAAAAATTATATAAAATGCTAAAACTATAAAGAATGCATTTAAATTAATTAATAAATCAAATTGAAAAATTAAAATTGTTAACTTACTAATCCTAGATTTTTCTTCATATGCATTAAACTCGAATTCATTAATGTCACCATAAACACATTTAAATGAAAGATCAACTTCGAAATATTTAAATTCAATGCATTTTGCTACTTGTTCATTAGTCATACATAAAATCATTATATAATCATTATTAAAAAAACCTAAAATATATATTAAATTATTTTATATTATGTGTAAAGTAAATAATAAATATATTAATAACATTTTTACTTACTAATTTTTTTGATATAATTCTTTATTTCTTGAGTATTTTGATAAAAATCATATACCACTCCAAGAATCCTTATATACGCAACTCCTTCTTCTGATGTTTCAGATATTCAATTGAACTAAAGAGTGTCCAATATCTTTGATTTTAGTATCTCTTGTAAATACTGCTATTTCAGATTCTGTATCATCTTCTGCATCTAAGTTGGTTTCTGCTGTCTAAATAAAAATGTATTTATTATTTACATCTATTACAATTTTTTTATATAATGATAATTTAATATTAATTAAACTACAAATAGATCAAAGTTCAATGGCTCATCAAATTCATCTAAATTTATATATTCATATGGTGTAGACATTTTATTAAAAATGATAAAAAATAATAAAGTTAATAAGTTGAGAAAAAATTAGGGACGAAGAAGAAAAAGTTTAAATCAGCAAAATCATTAGGGAAGTGACACATATGACGTAATTATTAGAGGGGGGTGGGAGATAATTAAAATCTGATGTTACACTTATTCTATTTATATAAATTGTATAATTAAATTTAATTGGTTATTAAATCTGACAAGGGAGGGAGGGGTAGAATTTATAGTAAAATGAATATGATGTAATATGTGTCACTCCCCTTATCAAGATTTAATAAATCTAATCATTTTTGGTACTACATCTGCAGAAATGTTTCACAAATCAAATAAGAGCTAAGAGTACAGGTATTATTTGATAAATATGATTAAAAATACCTAGAGGTTTGAAATTTTCCATTGTATATCAGTATGATAAGTATAATTAGCATAATTTTATATCATACCTATATCTTATCAATCGTACCTTACCTATCATATAATATAGTACCGTAACTAAATACTATATACTCCAATTAATTGTACCAATTGTACTGATGTACCAATAATTAATCTACTAATCATAGTGCATAAAATTTTTACTAATATTGTTTTATTTTTTTAAATTGTCAAAAAAAAAAATTATTTAAAAAAAACAGTAAATATAATTCCAACTCCAGCCTTGATAAAAAAAGCGGAATTATTGAAGCTGTTGTTGTGAATAAACTAATTTTTGCTGACAAAATGGACAAATTTATTTCTAGGCTTACTCGCCCTAAAATTTCACACGAAAAAAATTTAAATAACATCATCTATCACATGAGAAATAATAAAAACTCTCAAGTAAAAAATTAAAAAAAATTTCTTTTACTGTAAAAAACCCTTTGGCCACAAACAAAAAAAAAGAAAATTTATAAAAATAATTTTTAATTATAAAAAAAAAAGATTTATATTTTTGGTCTTTATATTTATATAGATTGTTAACATTTAGATTGGGCATTTTTTTTTTTAGTTTAGTCCTTTTTAGGACCAATTTTTCTGTCTTAAAAGGGCTAATTCCTTTTTCTTTTCCCCTGTTATCTTTCATTATTTCCTTAGTAACCTTGTCTTTAACATAAATATAAAAAATAAAAAATCCTGTATTTATTCCATATGAAATATATTTTGTCACACCTAAGGTTGCTTGTCTAAACCTCTTCAAAATCCTACGATTAGTTTCGTCAAAATTTTACTATAGATTTATTATAGTTTCGGCAGAGTTTCGGCAGTTTCGGCATTTATAATAAGTTTTGGCAGTTTCGCCATTCTCCAAAGTTTCGCCAGTTTTTTAATATAACTTTAATATAGTTTTGGCAGAATTTCGCTTTTCGGCGAAACGCCATCTTGCCTAAACCCCTAGGTTTCGGCAAGCAACCTTAGTCACACCTTTAAATTTTAAAAATTTTATAATGCTTAATTTATTTATGACTGGTAAAAAAAAGATAGTTTTCTCTAACAATGGTTCTGGAACTTGTTCCTTAGTTTAAAAGTTTAAATTACAATTAAGGGTTGACATATAATTTATAACTTATTATCAAAAATAATTGGTTAAATATCGGAAAATTTTTTGGGGTGCAGAACTGCGGAGATCTGTAAAATTAGCAGATCTCCACTTTTTTTTTGTCATTTTTTGTGTATTTCTGCGAAGTTCTGTAAACTTTGCAACTTCGCAGATAATTGAATATTTTTATCTATAAAATCAGCAAAATTCTGCAATTTTGCAGAATTTCATTTAACAGAAAATTTAAAACATGCCAGTTTTACGAAGTTCTGCGAAATAGCAAATCTTCGCTTTTTGTCCTTTTTTTTTTGCGAAACTCTGCGAAATTCTTTAACTTAAAATTGCGGGTTTATAATTGCATTTAAACTTTGAGTAACTAACTAATTAAACTTTTCGATTTCAATTAATAATTAAGCTTAATTAAGCTTTTCAATCATTTCTGTTGATAATTTATTTTCGCTAAAGTTTTTTAATAGTTTTTTTTTAATACTTTCATTAAAGTTTTTCAACAAATTTACAAATTTTATTTTTTAAACTTTCTGACTTTACTTTTGTTAAAGTTTTCCAGTAATTTTTAAAACATGTATTTATTTAACAAATAACGATTTACTTTGCCAAACCTTGGAACTATATGAACTTCTTAGTTAATTGAACCGATTGGTATTGTGTTGTATTCTTTGGTGTAATACAACTGCGGACACCCATACAGTTCGGGTTCCTCTGTAATAATATCAAACTAACGAACCAGAGCAAGTTCATATGGCTCTTTGAAAGAACCCCAGAAGAATTTAAATAATAACAACACCTTATAAAGAAAATTGATTAATGACATACAACACTTTATCAATCTTAATTATTCACTTACTTTTCCATACCAAGCTTTCTCATCCGAATTGTATTGCTCTTGATTTTTCACAGGAGTTACTGCAATATTACCGAACCATTCTTTACCTTGGAATTCTCCTGTCGTTCTTAAAATATGTCTATCTTCCAGGTGTACTGAATCATAAATTTTAATGTAAAATTCGTCACTTTCAGACTTCTGCGAAGATGTGTCCAGAAAGGTATCTAAAGTTGAAATTAATTGCGATAACCCTTCAATGAAGTTTGAATGTGATGGATTTTCAGATTTTTTCAATGATTTTATTTTTTAGTCGATATTATCTAATGTTAGTTCCCAAAGTACTTTTCCAAATCCTTTGGCTTTACGATGAATAACTTTTTTAGCAGAAGATGTCAATTTTTTGTGTTTTACCTATAAAAAATATTATTAAATGTATGTATATTTCAAAGAAATTGATTTCAGTCATGTCTGATTTAACTAACAGTTTTCACCAATTGTCTCATTATGTTTTTTCTGTTTGATAACCGATATGGGGTTTTGACATATGATTTGTGGAGGGTTTCGTACGTTTCCGTTGACAACCCATTCAATGCACCATATTTTCTAATAGCAGGCACTGAAAACAATCAAAATAAATTAGGATAAAATCATATACCTGCGTGATACCGCCAACTGTGTAACTTTGGAAAATTGCAGTCAGTAGTGGACAATGGAGAGAAGATCTTTTTGAAATCAATACACCAATCAATAATTGCTGACTATAATTGATAATCTTTAGTGTGTTGATGATTTCCAACGTGACTTTATGAACTTTGACTTACTTCAAAAATTTTCAGATCTTTTTCAGTATACATTTCTTTCTTACTCATTATGTACATCTTACTAAACTTTGCGTAAAGTTCGCAAAGTTCTTTACAGGTTATTTCATTCCCTTCAAAAATTTCATCTAAGGCAAAAAGGGCAATTTTCATTATATTACGATAGTCTGACGTAGTAAGTACGTTTAAATGTCCTAATTTATGTAAAAGTTTAAGACCCGGGAAGCGAGGAATCTGATGAAGTTGATCATCAAATTTTTTTTGTAGTTCTGTTTCTCTGACTGCCTTCAAAATATCTTGTGTAAATTCCAATTGGTATTTGAAGAGTCCAAGATCAATATAGTGCATACGGTCAGGAATGCAGACTTTGTATATATTCAAATTTCTGAAACAAATTATACGTGCGTAAAAATTTACATCTTTGAAATTCATTACAGAAATATAAAGATATTTACGGAAATTTCCAGAAGGAATTTTCAACGGAATGCACAAAATACTTCTTTCCTTGGCCATCGTTGATTACTTGCTTTATATTTTCATGAGTTCTATGAGATACGTTCTCTAGTTTAAGACTCATATTGTTCAGATCACTTTGCAAAACCATGCAAGTATGGCATGGCATTTTGCACCACGCTCCTTTATATATCGCAGTTATATCATCAGCTTCAAGCATATCTGCGAGAAAAAAGATATCCGTGTAGCGAAAGTAATCACTTGTCCATTAATTCCAAAATATAGCGCTTCGGATTTTTCTAATAAAGGTTGGAGCATAATTTTAAAGCATTTATGATATACATCGTGCTGTAAGCTTCGAAAACTTTCTGTTGTTTTGATTCCTGTATCTTGGACTTTAGGGAGAAATCCTAAAAGAATTTTAGTCTCTGGCAAATTTCGAACACGATTTGGAATGTTACTAAGAGTTAAAAAAACTGGATGGCCTGATGATTTCCCAAGTCTATCGAAAATTGTTGCGTTTGAGTATAAGATGATGGACAATAGTCGATTTAATGATGGAAGATTCTTTTCAGTTTTTAACCACCAGTTACCTTTGAAAGGTTCACCAAATATTCTTGTTTCACCTCTATCATCCTGAGAATATAAACAACTAAATAAGCATAAATAATGTAATTTATCATTGCAGACGGAAATCAAATTATTATACAGACCTTCATTTTATTTTGGATTCCTTTATGGACTAAGTTATTGGCTACTTCTGGTCGTTGCAGAAGAGCTTGAATAGCACGAAAAAGTGGGCGATAGTAGAGGGTAAAATTAATTTCATTATAGGTCGCAACAACCTTTTCTTTAAAGTTTATCAAAGGTGAATTTATTTGATTAAGATAATTCTTGCCATTTTTCGTTGAACTTGGTAATGGTGATTTGTCTAAATTACTATGTTTGTTGAAAAACTTTATTATTTTATCATCTATCTTATTAGAGATATTACCTTCTACTATCAACTCCAAAAAGTCGTGATATGCATCATTCGGCCATTTTACTACGTGCTCTGGTGTGGGTTTTCCATCAACTACATCTATGGCATCATCTAATGACGCACCCTGAAGGTCTTCAGGATTAATGAATTCAGTATTTTCAAAGTTTACTAATTCTGATTCTGCTTCTGATTCTTCAAAATTTGCTTCAACCCTCTCTTCTAACTGTAACCTTTTTCGCAAATGATAACGTGGTTCATCTTCTAACTCATCTGCAATATTTACTAAGTCTTCATCTTGAGATAAAGATTCAAATTGCTTCATCTCATTATTATCATCCTGTGATGTAAGCTTTTCTTGCAAAGTAGTTGGGTTTGGCATAATAATTGACGTGCTCCAAAGTTCTGCATCATGTTCTGATCTTATCATTTCTCTTAATGGCTGCAACAAAGATCTTTGCTGTACTGGTGACTCATTTAGTTGGTAGGATCTCATTTTCCCGTGATGTTTAGCATTGGCATGTTGTTTTAAACTGCCGTAAGTTGAAAATTCTCTTTTACAAATTTGGCATTGATATCTAACCATTTTTATTTGAAGAACAATTTATGAGGATTTATTTGCGGTATAGTAAATATTTGTTTTTATTTGTTCTTTGCTAATTTTAAGCGAATTTTAGTGATTTTATTAATGATTATTTTAATTAATGCGAAATTATGAATTTTGTGAATTTGCGAATTTTAATGAAGAATTTGATATTTCTTTCGTTTGTGTGAATTCTCAATTT